TAGGTTTCAATACCCTTTGCGGGGAAGCCAGGCTATGGTAACTGTTTAGGGACTCTCATACTGGGGTTAAGAACCTATGCTATCATACTTACCTCCCTCATATATGAAAGCACTGTAAATAGGAGGCTGGGAGACAAACACCATTAACAAGCAAACACTCAGTCCCCATCTCTCCAAGTGATAAAGGCACCTTCCCAAAAAGCCCCTCATCTGACTGCTCACAAAGTATTCCATATGTGTTGTGAGCATGATGAAACTGATTTGATTAAATGCTTGTGCATGTTTTGTTCATAATATTCACCCAGCTCCATGGGCTTGCTATACTCTAACTTAATAGGATCTGGTATGTGTATGTGATACTGGCACTGCATGGGATCTGGTGCATTCATTACATGGTTATTGCATGTGGCCCACTGCAGTTTTGTGTTGTACTTGTTGTGTTAAAGGAATAAACAAGGAAAGCAAACACTATATTTTTGCAGTTCCTGGTAAAGGTGCCATAGTTATTAAAGTCCCCTCTGTGCGACAATGAAAATATCTGACAATCGATGAATCCTCTGTGTGTGTATGAGATAAGGTGCCAAATTCATGCTGTTGTGATTTCACTGAAGTCAGTACAGATGTACATCAGTTTAAATCAGATTTGAATGTGGCTTAATATATCTGGAAAGAGAGGCCAGCTGTATGTATAGGAGCTAAGGGTTTAAAACTGCTCTTGTGTAAGTCAATGGGGAAAAGAAGTTATGAGGTTCTTTGGTGTAGACTTAAGTTCTACATACAATGTATGTTCTCACACATATATTCCTTTATGACAACCTTAGAGTTTTCTTCCAAGGCTGCAGAATGATTTTTTTCATCTGCCACGATCAGTAGAGGAGAGACAGGTGATCCATACGGCCCACTACCCGACATGCTCTGTTAGGATTGGATAAGGAAAGTGATTGACAAGCGCCAGGTGCTGAATTTAGTTCCAGGCTGTATCTCTCCATTTAAATACATCATTGAGTAAAACTCGACACGTACATTCCAGCTGCTTAATAGTGTAGCACTAGAGTAGACATGTCACACACATAAACATGTGCACCAAACAATATGGTGTGTAATTAGTATGGAGCTAACTGTTAATGACTAGACTCATTGTTCCTAGAACACGTGCACTAAACAGAAAGATCCGAAATAACCATACACCGATTCTGAAACTAAACTAAAAACAAACCAAGCCCAAACAAATCCAGTCCCGCAGAACACGGGGGAGACAAGGGAGCCAATGAGAGCCCTGCTCAGAATTCTACTTGACCACGCTGCGTTTTATCTTTAATTTCAATTAATCTAGTGATCAGGAATGGTGCCACTCTAACAGCCCCTGAGACTTAAATCCTTTCTGAATCCAAATACTGTATATTCAGAGAGCGAATCGGAAAAAGGGCCGGCGAACAGCACGGTAACATTTCCCCAAACCTTTAACAAACAAGTCCTAGAAACAGCTGCCAGGAGAGCGGAATGTGAAGCTTCTCGAGATGACAGAGTGGACTGATAGTCATATTGATCTTTATACATGTAATCAGGGTTGGGTTTTAGGGATTAGACCCCAATCCAGCAAAGCGAATTTAAACAGGGTTACTCCGTTTAACTTCAATGGCGCTATTCACCCTTTCAAATTAAGCACATGCTTAAGTGGATTGGGACTTTAGAAGTCAAAGACCATGCGTACATAGAAAGCCCAGTGTAAACTAAAGATATGTTCTCTCAATTACAAAATTAACACTACAATAAAGCACAAATGAAATGGACAAAGAACTAGTTAACTGACCGATCTCCCAAAGTGATCCTCAGCGGAGCATCCTTACTACTTAGCATTGCTGTCAGTAAGCTCTGTGTAGAAGCAGTGGTCCTTGGAGAGGAAGCTGTATGGGCAGCAGGAGAATGTGTTATCTTGCCACGGTCCATCCTGGAGGCAGAGCTGCTCTCTGGGCAATGGGTATTTGTGTTGGGCTGGGATTCCTGAAAGGAAGGCTCGCCTTGCATGCTGCTTATCCATCGCTGTTCCAGACCTGTTGTACGTATGTCAATAAACCAAGCCGCATTTAGAATATACCCAGACCCCTTGACCATCCTAATGCAGAGAGCAGAGGGGCTTTCCCTTGGGGATAGCCCCAGAGGGACCAAGATAGCCTCCCTCCAGCACAGCGAAGCTCCTCGAAGTGAAACCCCTACAACCACTTCCATACCCCCAAAAATAAAGCGAGTGCAGGAACCTGCGTACTTTTTAAAAAATAATCGCAGGCCATCAGTCCTTCTTTCGTGCTCCCATGGTCACTTATTACTCACACCCACAGCTATTTCACTGGTGGGGGAACGAGGGAGCAGAGAGGAAAAGTCACTTGCCCAAGGTCACTCTGACCCAACAAATCAGTGACTTCCCCTGGAATAAATCCTCTCCACTCTTCTGATTTCCTGTCCTGTGCTCTGGACACTGAGCCCGGACACCTTTCGGCGTACGTTTTTATTCCCAAGTACAGAACATATTGGTCCTTGACCGAACAACGGGAAGAAGTAAAATTGGCGTCATTGACTGGCGCTGTAAAGAGTCAGAGACAACAAACTGGTGGTATAAATGACTTTAATGTGATTTTTAGCTGGTCATTGGCTGGCACAACAGTTTCTGTCACTGTGAGCTGGATAAAGTCGTTTGTTCTGAAACTGTCATATACATTTTCCAGCTATCGGTGATGACATTCACTTTAAAAATGCCAAACTTTTTTAAAATACAACGTTTCCATTTTTTAGCTAATGTGTGCAAAGCTGTCATAATTTTGTGAATGCTTGTACGTTGCAAATGTTTTGTATGTTGTACGTTTGGTAAGGTCTACATAATATTTTTCTTCTTTTCCCAGATACGAAATTCTACTTTTTGATTGCATAGGCTTGCGCCGCTGTTAAAACGTTCATCTCTTTCCACAAACCACAATATGAACTGTTCTAGAAGACTAGATATTTCAGGGCATTGAGAATGAGACGTGGTATCTTTCACCTCTGCGTCACAAATTCATCTTCCCCTTAGGTGAGCAGTAACCTAGAGTTGTTACCTTTCATGCTTCAGTTGAACAGTTATGAAATGCAAACATATGTAGTATTCAACTTCCAGCCAATGGAGCTACACTAGTTACATCAGCGGAGGATCTGGATGATTGTTGTCGTCCCCCCCCCCCTCTAAATGACATTAAATGTGTAAGTGTCATCTTATCTGGAATTCGCAATTGCTTATGATTATTACGAGGTTTCACCCTTTCTGTGTGAAGATTTAGCCTTTCCCATCTTCGCTTATCAATTCCTTTGATTGTTGTTTCAAGTCATCTTTGAATTAACAAATGTTTGATTTCGTGGTTGAACCTATCCAATTTCCAAAGTATCCTAAGACTGTGCGTCTGATTGCGTTCTCCCTTCCGTTGGGTTTTTTCTTTTGTTAAAACATGTGGCATGAAATGTGTCAGTCTCGAATTATTTTAAAAGAGAAGGGTTAGAAACAAGCTTGAACCTAGAAGGATCAAGAGCAGGAAACAACAATAAGCACAGTTCCCCCAACGAGAAAGACAAATGATGTGGTAGACGATTCCGTGATGGCTTAACGTACTCCCAAAACAAAATATGAGTAAGGGGGGGAGCAATCGGGGATATTAAAGAGAAAGAGAGAGAGAGAGAGAGAGAGAGAGAGAGAGAGAGAGAGAGAGAGAGAGAGATGAAAACTGAAAGAAACCAATACTTGGAAAGACAGACAAAAAGTGTTGCGCGGGACAGTCACCGTACACAGCAAGAATAATCAGAAATGCAGATGAAAGGGAAGGATTGAGCAAAGCTGGAATACTGTAATGGATCATAGATCTAGCTAGTTTAAGTTACGTTAGGGCAAAAAGATACAAGCCACAAATCAAACTAGGCCATATCTACTGAGGGAGAGGGAATAAACATCTCTTGTAGCACAAGTATAGCTCTACTGATGCTAACAACATAATTCCCAGCAGATACAGCGGCACCAGTGCACGCCAGAGTCTAGACAGGACTTCACATTTTTACCACTGGTCACCTCCTGGGTCACAACATCTGAGGCCTGCCTACCCCACAGCTGCCATCAGGGCTGCTCGCTAGGAATAAGAAAATGCCCTTTCTTCCAGCGAGAGGGTTCCCAGTTCCTCGGCAGCAGGTGGAAGTGGAGAGGGTGTCACCAGCAGCAATAGCTCGAGGAGTGAGGGAGTGAGCGATCGGGTACAAGTTGAGAAAGACGCACCTGTTGCAATCAGGAGCAGTAGGGGGGTCAAATTGGGGGCAGTGTTGTGCTTGAGCGAGGGAGCGTTTGGAGGGCGCGCTGCGTTACAATCGGGGAAGAGGGGGGTGGCCTCCCCGAGAGGGGTAGGGATGTTGTGCGCCACCATCGGGGAGTTGGGGAGGGTGTTTCCTCGCCCCTTAGCTGGGCTATGCGGTGATTACACAATTTCCAGGAAACAGTTAAAATGTTTTACTGATTTCCAAGTCAACTTCCCTTCCCGTCGGCTGGCGCTGGAACCTGAGTGGGAGGTGCCCTCTCTCTCCCCCCGGGCTGCCTCCTCCTGCTCTCTGGAGCCGCGTGGGCAGTGCATCTCCCCTCCCAAAAAACCCTCCTCCCGCCCCGGCCGGCTCGCAGCATCCTCAGCTCCGCAGCTCACTGCGCGCGGCGGGACTCCAGGTGCCCGGCCCGCGCTGCAGGGGTCGCTCCCGCCAGCCCGCCCCGGCTGCTTGCGAACTGCTGGGCTGGGGGAGCCGGGTCTCAGCCCCGCTGGCTGCGAGCGGGACGCTGCTGCTGGCTTCGTGGCTACTCCAGCCCGCCTGCCCCATATTCCTCGGGCGGCTGGGCGCTGAGGGGCAGGGCTGCCCCGGGAAAGCCCAGCCCCAGGGCGGGGAGGGTGCGGGGCAGCCCAGCTGCCCGCAAGGACCAGAGGGAGACCGAGAGGACCAGGCAGAGAGCAGCAGTCACCAGGCGGGCGCTCGGCTTCCCATTGGTCCCTGGCTCCCCTCCCCTCGCCCCACGTGGGGTTTAAATGCCTCCTGGCCGGAGCCCGCGGAGCCTCTTTGCCCCGAGCTCATGTGCTGGAGTTTTATGACTGGCCAAGCGCGGGCGCTCTGGGAGGGGAGGGGGCCCCTCGTCCCCTCGCTCACCCCGCCAATGACCAGCGACTCTAGCCCCCAGGAGCCACCCATGAAGCATCGCTCCCCTTTGCAGCACACCGGCCGATGATCCAAAGCCCCGGTGCGCAGCTGTCGTTAGCCATGAGCTGTCTGGATGTTATGTACCAAGTCTATGGTCCTCCCCAGCCGTACTTCGCCGCAGCCTATAGCCCTTATCACCAGGTACGTGCGGGGCCCCTGGGGCGGGGAGAGCCGGAGAGAGAGGGATGCCCTGCGAGAGATGACTGCCCGTGGCCAAGCCATGCCAGCGCTGGCTGTGACACAGAGCCGCAGCCCATTCCGCGGGCAGTTCTGTACTTCGGTGCCGTGAGTTAGATTCATGGGCCTCATGCACCATGAGACTCGACTAACTCCTCAAACTTCTTCTAAAGAATGAATGAGACCCAGCAAGCGCCCCTCTTGTTCCGGGCTGGGCGGGGGGGGGGGGGCGCGGGGTGGAAATGGAAATACATAGTGGGAACTGCAGGGGGGGAAGGAGGTGCGCTCTGGACTCTCTTGTCATTAGAAAAAGACTTTGCCACATGTCACTTTTCGACAGCTCTATTCTCCCCTCGTGCAGGGTGCGCTTCTACTGGGGCGTTTGCTTGAGATGTGCTTGGCGGGAGCGTTTTGCACCCTGAAATTTGGAGGGAGGGCTATGCTGATTCTTAACCTGATTCCTTCCGCTGGTTATGGAGGAAGCTGAAGACACCTGGGGTGGGGAAGATTTTGGTTTTAGTTCGTTGGATGCGAAAGGATTGTAGGTGACACTGAACTATTTCGGGTTCTGCAGACTGCGCCTTTGCTCCTGTTTCAGCTAAATCACACAAAAAAGCGTGTCGGGGGAAGCAAACGATTTTCGTTTCCACACCATCCGGCCTCCGCGTTTGGCGCAGTATTAAATCCCTTCCGTCCACACTGGAAATTGCGGTGTTAGTTTCTTTTAAGGCGCAAACGCGGGCGTTGTAGCGCTTGGGAATACAGTGTTGCTGGCTACCTCCGCACGCGCAAGAGTATTCTTCGTGCCAATGAAGCCCGATCTTTCAATGCCGAGCACTGAGAGATTTCGTTCAAATGAAGTCCATCTTGCAGAGAGAACTTTTCACTCCGATTCATAGACGAGGTCGTTGTGCTAAACGCGACCCAAGACTCCGAGCTCTCTTTACAAGCGGACTGCACCTATTCAACAAGCGTCTTTCGTTCGTTCGTTCTTTATCTCCTCCCCTCTTTCCTTTCCTCCCTCCCTCCAGCAAAGCAGAGTGGGAAAGCTCCACAAACGAAAAAAAAAATGGCCCAAATCCACAAGGGCTCGCTCCTTTCTGCCCTCACTGACAGACGCTCGGAGTCCTCGGATGCTGGGCTTGTAGTTCTCCTGCGGAGAGAATGGGGCCCCTAGCGCGGACGATGCTTTCACTCTGCTCTGTTTGCCCGGGCCAGGGGATGGGCTAGTGGATCCGTCTTTGTTCGGGAAGAATATTACATCCGCCTTCCTGATTTACCTGCAGCTTATTGCAGGAGATCTGGAATCTAGAGAACTGGGATTCCCCCTTGTCTCTCTGAGCATTAATATTAGGGTAACCCTTTAGACTCAAGGGCTGCCTTGAAGGACGGCCCCCATGAAAAGCCATTCTTAATGTGTCGCGTGTCTTGGCCAAGGCCGCTGAAGCAGGCCCCTGAGCTGCCAGGTACATAGGGGGTGGCAAACAGAGAGAAAACGCTTCCCGTGTTCTTCCTTCATTTCTCCCCTCAAGGCTGGTTCTTCCAGCGATTCGCCATTGTACCGCGTCCCAGCTGAGAGCCCCTCTGTCTGCAATCTCCGAATCCAATCATTCATGTCTAAGAAACGGCCCTTAGCAGCTGCAGACACGCTAGGGGGAAAAACGGAAAACATGCAGCACACTTTCGAGTGAGTTCCAGTTTTTTCAAAGAATCCAGTGAAAACAATCCAGGCCTGTAGGAAATACCGTGGGTTTCTTTCTGCTCCCGCTTGCCAAGTCAGCGGTTTCTCCCTGAAATGTATTTGAAGCTGCCCATCTTTTTCTCCAATTAAAACTAGTAAGACCTCGTTTGGGGCCATGTTTTCACCCTTTACACTCCTGCGAGCCCATTGACTTCAGCAGGGATCTGACGGAGGGTCCCTTCTTTTCGGCCCTTTGCTTTTTAAGGGTTCCTGTGTACATGCAATGCTTATCTCTGGGTAACCGAGCGGGTGTGGGTCTGCACAATTATGTTTATTGAAACGGTGCCCGCCTGGGCTTGGTTTCTTCTGCCTCCCAACGCAAGATCAAAATCTCCACGTTTGATTTGCCTGCGGTCCGTATGGTGCCTTGTGGGAAGGTGATTTCCTTTGGAAGAGAGGCACTCCCGGATTCTCAGCACGTGTGAATTTCTCCTGGCCGTTTCTTGGAGCACTTTGTGTCTACATTGCAAAGCAGGCTTCACTCCTGCGTCGCCGGTCTCTCCTCCCCCTCTGCAGGTTTCCAGACAAGCCAGGTCTTTCGGTACCATGTAGCTACACCTCGCGTAGTCAGATACTTCACACAGTCGGCTGGGATTGGCAATGAGTGGGCCCGATCCAGAGATGGGGGGGCACTAGCGAACTGTAGGTATCCTATGGCTACTGGAAATGCTTGGGCCGACCGGGGGATTGGCTCTGAACTCTGGGGTGGGGGGTATGTAGTGGCTGGCGCTGTATCCGTGCCGCATGGCTCACTGCTGGGCACAGATTCTCCGCCAGCTGGACCGGACTGCACTGAGCCGTGCTACCCCGCTGTGCTTGCCTGGCTTGATTTTCTCCCCTCCTTCCTGACAGAAACTAGCCTTTTACTCGAAAATGCAAGAAGCCCCCGAAAGCGCCAGCAGCGCCAGCACCAGCAGCAGCTCCTTCTCCAGCCACGCCCCGGCCAGCATCAAGGAGGAAGACTGCAGCCCCGAGAAGGAGCGCCCCCCCGAGGCCGAGTATATCAACTCCCGGTGCGTCTTGTTCACCTACTTCCAGGGAGACATCAGCTCCGTGGTAGATGAGCACTTCAGCCGGGCCCTGAGCCAGCCCAGCAGCTACTCGCCCAGCAGCGCCAGCGCCAAGACACCCAGGAGCACCGGCTCTTGGAGGGGTGAGCACCCGGGACTGTTGGGGAGCCCGTAATGCCTCGCTAAAAAGGGACGCCAATAAAAGCAAGAGGCGCAGGGTTTCCTGCAGCCTTTGGATCTCTGGTTTCCTGAAAAGTAGCCCTCCCCCCGCCGGAGAGGACCCCCTGGCTAACGCCAAACTGATGCTGTAAAAAAGCCAAAGGAAAACGACCCTCCAAGGGCCCATTAGAGCAGATCTCATCCAACCTCCAACCAACGCTAGCCCAGCGAAAAGGAAGTTTCCTGCTCCTGTAGTTGGAACTGTGTTCCAGACAGAGGGGTAGCGAGGCCAGGGGGGGCTGGCGAAATGCGAGGAAGTTGCCAAGAAAAATTCCCTGAACAGTCGGGGATAAAACGGAAAGAAATGGCGTTAGACAAGCTGTTCCCTTGTAGAGACCTACCTAAATAACCTCTACTCAATGGGAATGGGATCGGGCTCCATGGTTTTGTTTTGCAAGCCATTTTTAATGTGAACTATAAAATGCCTATTCCCAGCGTTGGCTCGGGCATGGAAATTGAAGCTGGTTAATTATGCTTAGGTGAAGTATTTTTTAGAGGACAGAGCCCATAAATTCTACTGGAGTGCTTTAGCGTTGCAGGTGCTCAGCCAGCACCTTTGAAAATCTGGCCATAAATAGCTATCTGTAACTGAGAAATGACTGTTCAGATACAATCAGGTTGATCTGACACGTGGGAGTTTTACAGATTCTGTCGTGACATATTTTTTTCTATCGGTTAGCAATTCTTACTCGTAAATGTGTTATTTTGGCTTCTCTGAAACGCTTCTTCTAATTAGCGGTCTATAGCGAAGAACATACAATTTCTTGTATGCTACTTCTCCAGACTTCCCTCTCTTCGCGATGACACTGAAATTCCACTGAATATAAAATAGTGCTGAAATTAGTGTAGAGAATTTAAACAATGACCCCGAAATTGTGTGATTCAACCTGTAAGGTCTGAGCGGGGAGGGGAGTTCTCCACAAGGAATTGATCTTATTTTATTTTTTACCATTTACCATAAGTCTTCAAGCGGAAGTCGTAGTATCGAATGGGTACCAGCACCACCTGGCCCTTGATTTTTAGCTTAGTGCATTGATGATAATTACCTTTTTTAATGTAAAAAAAAAGTCACTTCTCCAGTCCCAGCGCCCCAGAGAGATAATACATTATGTACAGACCTAGCTCAAGGTATATAATAGCTTGCTGTATCTTTAGAGGCTGAAGGAAATAAATAAAAACAATGCCTTGTTTAAATCCAGGGCAGCAAGCCTGCAAGATATCCCTCCAATCTTTCAAATTTGTGCAGCGTGGGAAGAAGTTAACTATAGTGTGCTTGGGTTTATCAGGGAACAAGAACTATTGACATGTAGCTAGAGGATATTCATGATCGAGCACATTATGAAGGATACTGTCTTCTACAGCACACTCAGCAACATGTGAGAGAGAAGGCGACCATGACTAAGCCAATAGCTAACTTTATATGTAAGGCTTAAACGGCCATTTACTTCCCCGGGAAGAAAAAAGTATATAGCCTTTCCCAGGAATGCATTCCCATTTCTCACGTAACCACCATATATTTTACTTCAGAGCAGGTATTCTGCAATTTAGCGTCCAAAAAGATAATCAGGCTGGAATTATAAAAAGAGTGATTACAAAATCGTCGACACCCTGGCCCATACCGTATACTAGTAAAATTGCCAGAGAGTTGTTCACTTCAGTGGGAGAGTTGCGTGGGGAGGGCAGGATCCGAGCCCCCAGTATTATCAATCTAGCCAAGATTCTTCTTCAAGATTTCCCAATCTCGCCATTTATTTCTGTCAGTGGTTAATAAAAATGAAATACTACTTGAAATTTGGCAGAGAAGAAAGATACTCCATGCTGCAAGTGCCTGTGATGTCCTACATCCCACTCTCTGAATACAGCTGAAGGATCCTTGCCAGGGATTCAGAGATAACTTCCCTCTGGCTCACACTTCGTTAATGCACATTTTATTTGCGTTAGGAATGCATAACATACCATGTGAATAACGCTTAACATTTCTATCCTCACTATTGGTAAATATTATTCCATCCTTCATATTGTTTGACAGACGAATAAAATACAGGATCCCTGAAGATCTTACAGTCCTAAGCGACGTGCAAAATGCATTACAAATTTTAACAGGTCACCTGTGAGGCAGGCAAGCCTTTTTAGCCCAACTTTACAAGTCGGGGAATTGCCCGCGGTCATTTAGCCAACAAGTGACCTAACCAGTAATGTCTCCTCATTCCAGACCTGCCTGCCTCTAAAGAGCATGGAGGGGAGAGATGATGTAAATGAGTCAAATTCTATAAATGTTAAAAATCTTCAAGGTCTTTTATTTTCCACCCCTGGAAATTGCTCTATGCTGAACAGAGATGACTTGTCTCCTCTATTGGGGGAAAGAAATCCCGTAGTTCTGGGACTTTTTCCAACACCATCCCCCCCCCCCCAAAACAAAACCCCCCACACACTTGGACATCACCTTTGTTTTAACTGATGGTAAACAAAGGCCTAGATGTGTCGAGGCAGCAGAGATCTGACACGTGGCTCGTAGACCGTTAGCTGGAGAAGGAGATGTGAGGATCTAATCTATAGGGAGTGTGAGCTCTTAATGTATTGGGTGTGTGAGCTGGCGGGCACGCTGTTGGACAGTTAGCTGGCAGGGGTCTAGGTGGGGATCTGATGTGTTGCGGCCTGTTGGAGGGATAGCTGGAGGGGCTCCGCTGGGGCGGCCAGGCTGGAGATGCACTGCGGTGCCAGGCGGCACAGAGTAGGGGCGGTTTCTCTTTGCTCATGTTGCTTCCTTCCCGCCCCCCTCTCCCCCCTTCTCTCGCGGGCACGCTGTTGGACAGTTAGCTGGCAGGGGTCTAGGTGGGGATCTGATGTGTTGCGGCCTGTTGGAGGGATAGCTGGAGGGGCTCCGCTGGGGCGGCCAGGCTGGAGATGCACTGCGGTGCCAGGCGGCACAGAGTAGGGGCGGTTTCTCTTTGCTCATGTTGCTTCCTTCCCGCCCCCCTCTCCCCCCTTCTCTCCCCAGACGGCTCCTTCCCGATGAGCCAGCGCAGCTTCCCCGCGTCCTTCTGGAACAGCGCCTACCAGCCCTCCTCGGTCCCGGCCTCCCTGAGCA